TTGGTAACCACAAGATTGCCACAAGGATACAAAAGATAGTTTGGGGAATATAATCAATAATGTTGTAAAGATTGGCAGAGTATCTGATGGACACTTGTCTTATTAGGGAGACCACTTCATGGAGGGTGTAGATGCCTGACCACTGCAGTGTACACCTCAAGCTGAAGCTGACTAGAAGTCCTTTTCACATTTCTTGTAATACTGGCTTGGTGGTAATGAATTCCTTTAGCTTTTTTTGCCTGGAAGCTCTTCATCTCGCCTTCAGTTTTGAATGATAGCTTTGTTGGGTAAAGTAGTTTTGGTTGTAGGCCCTTGTTTTTTATCACTTTGAACATTTCCTGTCACTCCCTTATTGCCTGCAGTTTCTGATGAGAAATCAGCTGATCATCTTATGAGAACTACCTTGTAAGTAATTGGTTGCCTTTCTCTTGCTACTTTAATATTTTTTGTCTTTAACCTTTGCCATATTAATTATAATGTGTCTTGGTGTGGGCCTCTTTGTTTTATCTTGTTAGGGACTGTATGTACTTCCTGGCCTTGTATGTCTATTTCCTTCGCCAGGTCAGGGAAGTTTTCAGTCATTATTTCTTCAAATAGGTTCTCGATCCCTTCTTCCCTCTCTTCTCCTTCTGGTACTCCTGTGATGAGAATGTTATTACATTTGATGTTGACACACAGGTCCCTTAAACTATCTTCATTGTTTTTAATTCTTTTTTCTTTTTGTGGTTCTGATTGGGTGTTTTCTGTTACCTTGTCTTTTAAATCACTAAGTTGTTCCTCTGTTTCATCTATTCTGGTGTTGATTTCTTCTAGTGTATTTTTCATTTCAGTTATTGTATTCTTTATTTCTGACTGGTTATTTTTTATGGTTTCTATGTCCTTTATGCTTGCCATCTCTTTGTTGAAATTTTCACCAAGTCCCTTGAGCATTCTTATAATCAGTGTTTTAAACTCTGTCTCTGGTAGGTTAGTTGCCTCCATTTCATTTAGTGTTATTTCTGGAGGTTTCTTCTGTTCTTTTATTTGGTACATGTTTCTTTGTTTCCTCATTCTTGCTGCCTCTCTGTGTTTGCTTCTATGTATTAGGTAGATCTCCTATGTCTCTCCGTCATTGCCGGGTGACCTTATGTAGTATGTGTGCTGAGTCCTCCAGTGTTGCAGTCTCTCTCATCATCTGTGACTGTGTTCCATGAGTGTCCCTGGTGTGTATTGTGTGTATTTTCCTGTTGTAGTTGAGCCTTGATTACTTTTGGCACATCAGTCAGTGGGATTAACTCCCAGGCTGACTAGCTGTGAGGATTAGCTACGCCCACAGTGTATTAGCTGCTCTGTAAGGGCTTAACCCTCAGAGGAGAATTCACCCCAGTGGGCTCTAGTGCCTGTTGAGATCACCCCTTTGGTGTGCCACTTGTGGGGCTTACTGGGTAGTACTCAGGTGTGTTCTGAAGCTGGACTTCGAATTTGTTTTTTCTTGTGTCTCTTGGAGGGGCTCCCATAGAGGCCAATTTCAGCCTTGCTTGTGACCTGCCTGGGGCTATTTGATAGGATCTACAAAATTATGTGGTTGGTTGCTGCCTGTGCTGGACCTGGAGACATGTGGGGGTGGCCTCATCATGAGCCAAGGCCAGATGACACCAGTATTGGGTCTGGGGCATCTTAGCAAAAGTCCCAGTGTCCCACATAGGCCTGTTGCCACCTGACAGCTACCCGTAAGGGTCAGTCATTGATAGAGCCTCCTTAGGTGCACAGACCGGGCTGGTTGACACTGTTGAAATGCAGCACTAGCTGAATGTAATGGGGTGCCGGGATGTCACGAGACATGGCCTGTGGTTTTTACAAGGTTAATGCAGATTCAGTTATTGCGCTAGTGCTGAGCCTGTGACCACTTCTCAAAATTCCCTGAGAACACTGCAGTCAGTCACTGCTCACTTTAGGCCTACAGATCTCCAAGAGCCAGCCAAGAGAGGCTGCAGCACAAGTTGTGGTTGACTGACTGCCACCAAAATTTCTCCAGACTGCCTCAGGCCTTCCACTGCTGGAAAAGTCTTTCACAGTTTGTGGTATAGGGCCGGCCACCCAGGAGCCAAGAGTGCCCCAGGCAATGCAGCACTAGCTGGGAAGGGCGGGGTTCCAGGGAGTTACAGGGTGTGGGCTGTGATTTTTACAAAGGTAATGCAGATTTAGTTCTTCCACCAGTGCTGGGCCCATGATCACTTCACAAAATGCCCTGAGAACACTGCAGCTATCCACCGCTCTCCTCAGGCCCACAGATACCCATGAGACACCCAAGAGAGGCTGCAGCTCAAGTTGTGGCTGACTGGCACCCGTCCAAAGTTTCCTAGGTCACTGCAGGCTGTCCACTACTGTAAAAGGCTACCACAGCTTGTTGGGGGTGGAGGTCTGGATGCTCAGGAGCCGAGAGTGCCCCTGGTGATGCAGAACTGGACGTGCAGGGTGGAGACCCAGGGCTTCACCAAGTTGGTGCACATGCACAGATTTTACCAGACCATTGTGATCTCAAATTTGGCCCTTTGGGAGAGGGCTCAACATAGACAAGATGGCACCCTCCTGTAGGGTACACATGAGGCAGGCTCCACATTGGGACAATGGCGGCTGTCCCTGAAGCCCTTGCTTTGAAGCCACAACTCAGTCTTTCCCCATATGTCTCTGGTGCCTCTTGACTTGCCACCCCTTCATGGAGCCCAGGTGAATGTTTGCAAGTGAGTGAATCTGTGTGCAGGCCCTTTAAGAGGATGTCTGAGGATCCAGCCATCTTCCATCTCACTGGACAGACAGTCCTTGCTGATTTTCACTGCAAGCTGTTATGGAGACTCCTCTTCCCAGAATAGGACCCCAATATAAGGCTGGGACCCCTCCCTCTTCAGGGGAGACTTTGGCCACTGAGGCATCCCTCTGGCTGCTCAACCACCGCCTGTGGGTTTGAGTATGTTTACTTTTGAAAGAAACTGCCAAAATGTCTTCCATAGTGGCTGTATCATTTTACTCCCCCTCTCACCCCCAGCAATGAATCAGTTCCTGTTGCTCCACATTCTTGCCAGCGTTTGGTGCTGTCACTGTTCTGGATTTTGATAATTCTAATAGGTGTGTAATGATATCTATTATTGTAGTTTGCATTTCCCTCATGACATATGAAGTGAAATCTTTTCACATGCTTATTGTGGATGTTTATGCTCTAACAAAGAAAACAGCCCCCACTTCCTGTTATTTAAATATTTAAGCCATTAGAAATGGGTGGTAATACTTGTGGTTTCAAATAACAGGTGTGATGAAACACTAAGGTGAATATTTAAATTAAAAAATTACAGTACTTTTACACATTGCCATTAATACCCCTCAGAATAATCCTCCTCACTTCAACCACAATTATCCCATCATTCTTACCACTTTTTGAAGCAGTTCTGGAAGTCCTCTTTCATGAGTGTCTTTAGTTGCACTGTCCTGGCTGCCTCGATGTCCTCAATAGATTCAAAATGCTTTCCTTCATGGTCATTTTGATTTTGGGGAAGAGCCAGAAGTCGCATGGTGCCAGATCTGCTGAATGAGATGCATGAGGACACACCATAATGTGTTTTTGACAGAAATTGCTGTACCAGAAGTGATGTGTGACATGGAGCAGTCATGATGGAGGATGACGTAAAGACACTCATGAAAAGTGGACTTCCAGAACTGCTTCAGAAAATGGCAAGAATGATGTGTTTGGAGCGAGGGGATGTATTTTGAGGAAGATTAATGATAACGTGTCTTTCACTGTATTAATTTTATTTAAACATTCACCATAGCTTTTGATCACACCTCGTAAGTACAAACAGTATAATTCTTTTTTTGTATGAAAATGTATGGTAATAGACCACAAATAGATGGTCATACATCCAAATGCTAACATTTCTAGTTGGTGGGATTATAGGTGATTGATTTTTATAAATTGAAAATTATAATAGTATTTTTTAAGGGCAGGGATGGAGACACTCCCATTCATATGTATTTCTTGTGCTCAACATTAACATCAAAACTGATTAGGTCATAAAAATTCTGTTCAGGACAAAAACCAGACCAGAGGTTCAGTGCTGCTGGTCATTAGCACATATTAAATATCTGAGTTTATGCTCAATAGAATATGTGATGTGCTCAGCACAGTATGTGAGCAAATGTTCCTTTCCTTAACAAACCATAGACTTTGGTATCTCCTTCCATTAAATTGAAAATACTTTCCAGAAAGCAAACATGCCCAGTTTAAATTCCAGCCCTTGGGGCCGGCCGAGTGGCACGATGGTTAAGAACTGGCTTGGGACACCAGAGGGCCCCGGTTCGTATCCCACATATGAGGGCCAGTGACACTGCACTCTACAGCTAAGATGCTGAACAACAGCTCAACCTGGAGCTGGGCTGCTGTGAGTCGCTGGTGATGGCGTAGGCTGCAGTCCCTGCTGCAGTGGGTTGCCATGGGCTACCGTGTGTAGCTGGCTGCCAGCATGAGCGACCATCTAGAAGCCGGCGACTGATCTGCCTTGCCTGGGAAGAGCGCAATGATGGTGCCAACTTGGGCCAGTAAAGCAACATCCTCCACAACTAGACTGAAGAACAAAATGACAGCAACTTGTCTGTTCCCCTTCCCCCAATTCCCCAGCACTGTTCCCATCCTCCCAATTCCCCAATACAAATCTGTAAAAAAAAATCCAGCCCTTGTTCACCTTGAGTAGATCATTTCAGACCCTGTGTTTTTATTTCCTCATCTCTGAGATAATGTGGCTAGTCCACATTACCTCCTCTCCCAAGGTTCTCAAATTTGATGATTCCAACTCTGTGGAAAATCAGTTAGCATCCTCAAGTCAAGATCCACTTGATCTGGAAAGAGAAGCACCTTCTCCATGTAGATATATAATTTGTGAAAGCAGCTTTCCTTCAACCATTTTGTTTGGCTGAAAATAGTATCCTTGTACATGTCCATTCCTTACAAGACTACCAAGAATGAACCACAGGAGTCTCAACATAATGATTATATTTATTTTATCACTACATATGAAATGAAAATAAACTGTGAGAAGCTGCAAATGCATGCCATTTTATGAAGATTATGGAACAATGGAGACATCAATTGTAAAATGTTAAAAGTGGCTTATTCTTTGGGGATGCAAGGACTACACACACAAAGGTCATCAGTGGTGAGATTATGGACAGCATCTGCCAGCTGGAATTTACTCACCAATGGAAAGTTTAAAAATGAAGGTAAGGGAACACTGGCTACCCCTGACCTCTTAGCCAAGGAGTATGAGTGAGAAGACATCAGAAGATGCCTAAAATCTCAACAAACAAATAGGTTTACAAAAAAACAAACAAACTTGAAACCAACACACTCAGGCAATGTTGATATTAGATCTTGAGGAGAAGATCCTCATTTTATGATGTTTGAACACACTGTTTCTCTTGCTGGATAGCTGGGGGGAAAAACAAAGACACACAAAAAAATCATTAAAAGCGTATTTTCCTAAGAGTAACTTCAGTTTCTTCCAAAAGAGCTCTTTGCCAAGTCACTGAAGGCTGCCATACCCTTTAAATTTATAATGCCAAGGCACTAAGCACCAATCCTGTCCGGTGTGTGTGTGTGTGTGTGTGTGTGTGTGTGTGTGTGTGTGTGTGCGCACGCGCGCGCCTGGGTCTGCAAGTTGGCCACCTGAACATTCATTAGAATCTATATCAACTGTGGGGTTTTTTTTTTACTTTTAAGAGGTAGATGTATGCTGTTACCATTTTTCCATAGATTATTCTGAGATTGAGGAGCAAGTGAAGCATTTCCCTCAGACTTATCTATCACTATATATTTAGGAAGTTATATCCTTTCAGATAATTTTGACTAACTTTGAAACTCCCAAATAACACAGACATGACAAAAAGTACCTGTCAGTTTTGTGAATATGTGTGGAGTTTCTCCATCAGGCTGTAACTCCCAAGGGCTAAACTAATCCCTTAAATCTGGAAGCCTTGAGTGCAACCCAGATCTAAACTTGTTCTCTGCATCATCTTGTCCTCAGGTAGAGAAAGCCTAAACTGCAGTCTGTGTGGTTCTTTAGGAATGAGATCATGGACTCGAATTGTTTGATGCAGAAAATGCCAAATAACCACAAAGTGGACAAAATTAAGATTTTTCTAGTGCTAAGTCCAATATTCCAAGATTGGTTGTAATGTGATTTTTAGTAATTTTCCAACAAGAAATTAATTTTTTATTCCCTCATTACTTCTTCGGTCTATCATGTGAGAACCACTTATATAATCCAAGTAAGAAGAAAGCTATTTGATATTTTTACTGTTGCATTAAATATAGTTGTATTATAATTGTCTTCCTTTGTGGCAAAAATTACTAGAAAGAGTGTATCTACTGAACCTATGAAAGTTCACCATTGTTTTTCACCACTAGAAACCACACCTTTACCTCCCATCCTATGACTTACTTTCCTGTGAGGGGAGAGTATTTTTTTCTTCAGTATTCGTTTTCTTGAGTTTTGACCTGTCAAACTTCTCCACTTCAGACAAGTCTGGCTTATCACTCATTTTGACTAAAAGAAAGACTGAAAAAAATTTTTTAACTGGCAGAAATGTTATAATACTAAGGTATCATAGCCAAAAACTCTCATATTTAATATCAGTGTGTATTCTAACTTCAGATTTTCAATAAGAAAACAACACTCATCTTAGAAAAGTCATGTTTTTATTAGAATGTTTTGAATTCCACATTATTATCCCATTTCTGATAGGCAGTAAATGCCATTGAATCAGGATGCACTAGAAACCAAGATGCTCTAAAACCCAGAGTCAGTATGTTGGTCTCTTTTAAAATAACAGCAAAGGTCAAATGGAGGTGACAGAAGCACAAGAACAGATATAGACAGGAAAAAAAATAAAGACTGGGCTTAACTAGGTAATGATTTTTTTTAACAGGAGATGGCATTATTTGAGCATCTTCACTTTGTATTCAATTACTTTGGGGGGCATTTTTCTTAGGGAATAGTGAGCAGCACACAAAAAAAATGGTAGCATAAGTTGGACTGGTTTCTATCCATTTCATATGCCCAAAGACAGTAGATTATGGGGCTACAATAAGAGAGGGAGGGGTTTAATGCAGTTATAACTAATTAAACGTCACATAATAGCTCCTTGTCGCACTGGTTTGTAAACACTGCAAGAAGGCACTGCTGATTAGGATCAGACCAAGGACTTCAGCAGAATGGGATAAAACCAAACAGAGTTCCTTTTTATTTCATTTCAGTACGTTTTCTCCACAAAGGGAGAGGCGAGGAGGTGAAGCTAGGAGATGAGGTGCCCTGTGACCGACCCATCGGTTTGTCGCGAAGAGACAATAGGAAACCCCAGAGACCGGAAAGCAGAGCTCTCATGCCTGTGCCTGACCCCGCCCTGGTGGGGCTAATGCACATCTAGTGACCAGGGTAGAGTGGCGGGGCCCCAAATAGCCAAAAGTCCCGAATATACCTCCTTTCCCTCGAGGTCACCCTAAGACCCGCCTTTGACCAGCGATCAGACGCCAATCTCCAGAGGTGGGAAACAGGGACTTCACATAAATAACAGGCTGGGCGCAAAGGCCAGTTTGTTGGCAGCACTTTGCTTACATTTTAAAATAACTATCATCGTAGTCGGGCACCCAGCCTCACCTATCCGCCACGGGAGGGGAGAGAGCGAAGGGCCAGCCCCCAAGGGCCCATCCCGGAATGTCCCCAAACTCCTCGTCCTCGCAGCCTGGGACCTGCAGCCACAGCGGACAGGCCGCTCTGGGGGCCGCCTCCTCGGGTCTTCCGGACCAACTCGGGAGGACTCGGCATCGCGCGCAGAAGGCGGCGCCGAGGAAGACAAAGGCGCGGAATCGCCAGGAGGCGCAGATCCGAAACGCCAGTCCCAGCCCGGCCTCCCCAGTTCCC